CCGAGAGACCCCCCGCCGCTGCGACGCTAAACGCCACAACCTGGGAGGCCGATCCGAGAGCCGGCAAGGCTCCGGAGTTGGACACCGCGTCAATGGTGCCATTGACCTGTCGGGATGGTCAGTCTCATGGTCACTGGCCTAAGAGGATACATAGCGAGGAGACTCACCCCTGCGCACCCCTCAGGGCCGGAACATGCAATGTTGTTGTTCTGAGCGATGACGTTCGCCTGCTGGGGGTCTATGGGCGCTGGAGACGCGGAGACTGCGAGACTGTCGGTAAGCACTCCATTTTCAGGCGTATGCTCATGCGTGGGGACGTACCGAGAGTGAAGGAGACGGCAAAAATGAGCGTGAGGGTCTGGATGGCGCGTGCGTACATCATGACTTGGGGCGTGATAAGACAGGTGTTTGGTGGTATCGTGATGAGAGGTATATGGATGGAGGTGGACGGTAAGGGTACAGTGTCGGGCGCTGAGAGCGGGCGGAGGCTACAGCGGGAGGTCGGTCAACGAACGAGGAACCCTAGCCCACTTTCCTCGCTTTTTATCAGTTGGTGGACTCTCTTCTCGTCCGTTACCTTGTATTTAAGCGATGGGAATGGGAACTCAACCAACGACGGCTGGCGGTACTCGGCGGGACTACTTGAAAGGGAGTGCCAAATATGGAAGAAAGTGCGGGGCCACGTGTGCAGGACGTTCGCAGACGCTCATCTACTTTGGCGTTTGTCCTTCCTTGCTCGCAACCATCATGTTGTACTATTCATTCATCGCCGCTTGCTCTCTGCTCGTGTCGCTGAACGGCGAAATGAAGGCGAAAACATGCCATGTTGAGAGGGGACCACGGTTGGCGAGTAGAACAAAGCGCAACCGGTGCACATGCTCGGGAATGACTTGAAATGTGGTGTACACAGCCGGTAATGCCCTCCATTCCCACCCGTACAACATATCTAATTACAAGGAAGAAATACAATGACATGGAGCCTCCGAGCTTCTGCCCTATCCTCTCTTCGACTCATCGCCATGTCGAAACGATGTGCGTCGGGACTTGGCCCGTGAGTGAGAAGAATGGTGGCGGGAACGCGATTGTCTCCCACTCCTCATCGAAAGCGTGCGACGTGCCACCTAGGGGGCGCGCGTGCCCTCGGTCGTCTTCTTCAAGTTCTTGGAGCGTTTCTGTGCTTGTCTCGTCAGCTGCGGATATTTGGACGAAGCGATGCCACTCACGCGTCTTGAGCTGCAGCCCGAACATATAGTCGAAGACGGCCCACGCAATCTTGGAAAGACTCATCATTTCATATGCCTGGTGTGTGGCGTATCTTTCGAGAGGGCGAGATTACTTCAGGAGAGTTTGGTGAGTCGCAGCTTCGTCTCCGCGCTGCACCATTTTCTACTGCTTAAGCAAACAAAAGGCTTTGACTGGATATCGGCGTGTGGCCTGCAGCGTATGTGTACAACCTCGTGTTTTCCATGTGTATCAATGTGCGTGCCTAAGTCTTCAACAGGCCTTTGTGTGTGACGAGCTGGAAATCTCGAAACATAAGTACAGCATTCGGCTTGGGCGTCAATACCGGGGGGCTATCGGAGTCTAAGTCCGACGAGTAGATATCGATATTCACTTTGCCCAGCCCAGTCACCCCTGTCGTGTTCCCCGGACTCCGGAGAATTAGCCGCGACCCAGGCACCGCCGGTACGCATAATGTTATATGCTTATTACATGTCGACGCTTGGCGTCCTATGCCAACTCAAAGATAACCTTCAGGGTGCCCTCTCGATCGCTAGTCAGCGTACAAATCATCGCTTTTTGGGCAATGGCGCTGGGCATGCGACCCTGTCGGAGGCCTGGCCATCGTACATTTCGCCGCCGTGGATTACTGAACCTATCGAGGGAACCCAGGCTGCGGTGAGGGATGTTTCTGTTCTCCAAACTTTGGCATTGGTTGCTTTTCTCGCAGATTCCGGACCCACAGGCAATGTCAGGCACGTTTACGAGACTGTACGCGGTCACGTTGTTGAACGCGGTCGCAGAGGTCCGCTGTGCCGGTGGACGCGTTCGACGTATCGTACCGATCCTCATGGTCGATAGGCGATAAGGCCGGAATTACCCAGGCTTTGTGTCCTTATCTCCAACGGCCTCCGAATTCAAACTGTAGCAGCTACTCAGCATCGGTGAGCGTACGTTAGGAGTCGAAGAAGGCACGAAGGGTGAACTTCCAGACCGTGTATGCCGTAGGATTGATAACAGCCACAGCCACAAATTTATGACCTCGGCACCAAGCCCGCAATTGCCGTTCGGCGGTGGTTGGTGGTTTATAAGGAAGCGATGAGGTGGACATGTACGGCACGTCCTTGCCTAGGCGTTCGTCTTCAAGGATGCACCTCAACGCTCTCTTCGGGCTCGTGTTCGGCCTCGCCACCGTCCGCGTCGCAGCGGTACAGGTCAACATTCAGCATACCGGGAGGACGCTCACTTTGGGCAACGTCTCGTACTTCGTCCCTCCTTCGCCGGTCTCATCGCTTCCCAATGCGGCATTCCTCGTTAAGCCCGCGTCTGGGGACTTGATTCCGTTCTCGGTGATCCCCACCTCGAAGAAGGTATTCGACCAAAACGCTCTGGAGGCGACCATAGCCCAGTGGTCTGCTAAGGACGACGTGTGGAGCAAGGCCTTCCTCACTGGTAAGCTGTCGAGCTCAATATCCGTTCTACTAGTATTGACTCTGTACGACAAGGTATCTACCTCAGCTTCAACGGCACGCACGGCACTCCGGTGGCGTCGCTTGGGAGTGCCCAAAAGAAGTTCGGGATCGACTTCGTGCTGCAGTCTAAAGGCTTCCTCGGGGGAGTCAGCTTGAAAACCCCGCTGCCGTCTGGCCCGTACTTCCTGGAAACTGCAACTGGGAAGATCTTCGAAGGTCAGAGCTCACCTAAATGCACCGTTCAAGCTGCGGGAACTGACTATACACGCAGCCTACCGCCTGTACAACGACGAGAACCAGTCCTTCCTGTACGGAACGATTCCGGACGGCAAGGATGGCTTCGACATCCTGTCTGCGCGCGTCCCCGGAGCGTCTACAGAGACCATCGGCGTCCCCTCGCGTCTGTACTTCACGCCCACCCCCGAGAAGCCTCTCGCCGGGTTCCGCGTCGCGGTGAAGGACATCTACGACATCAAGGGCCTCCGGACCGGCTGCGGCAACCGCGCCTTCTGGCAGCTGTACCCGGCCAAGGAGCGCACCGCGCCCGCCATCCAGCGCCTCCTCGACGGCGGGATGGTGCTCGTCGGCAAGGCGAAGACGTCGCAGTTCGCCAACGGGGAGACCGCGACGGACGACTGGGTCGACCTGCACGCGCCTTACAACCCTCGTGGCGACGGGTACCAGGACGGGAGCAGCTCGTCGACGGGTCCCGGGACGGCTACCGCAGCGTACCCGTGGTTGGACTTTGCGGTCGGGAGCGACACTGGTGGATCCATGCGAGGCCCGGCTGGCGCGAACGGTGTCTTTGGCAATCGGCCCTCGCACGGGGCTGTAGCCTTGGACGACGTGATGCCGCTGTCGCCGGAGTTGGACACCGCAGGCATCTTCGCCAGGGATGCCAAGTTGTGGGCTACCGCAGGACACTGGTGGTACCAGAACTTCACGTCGGTGAGCAGACTGCGGCAACATCGTGGAATCCAATACTGACGCGTTCCTATAGTTCTCGAAGTTCCCGAAGAAGATCATCTTCCCCGTGGACTTCTTTGGCAGCAGCTTCCTCAGCACTCCTCCCGCTGAGGGGACGGCGAGCGCGACGTTCAACACGTTCATCGCCAAGCTCGAGCACTTCCTGAACACGACGCGCACCGAAGTCTCGTTCGCCGGCCTGTGGAACACGACCAAGCCCGCCAACGCCTCCGCGCCGACGCTGCAGACGTTGCTGTCGACCACGTACGCGGACCTCATCACCCTCGACCAGATTGCGCTCGTGGCGGACCCGTTCATCGCGGACTTCGGAGCGGCGAACGGCGGGCGCATGCCCTTCATCAACCCCGCGCCGCTTGCGCGTTGGGGCTATGGCCGCGCGTTGCCCGCTGGGCGCAAGGAGGAGGCGCTGACGAACAAGACGATCTTCATGGACTGGGTCGCGGACGAGGTCCTTAAGGCCGGCGACCCGGAGACATGCGCAGATTCCATCTTGCTCTACCCGCAGAGCTCAGGCAGCACCAACTACAGGAACCGCTACATCAGGTTAGTCTAAGGATGGCTTCGCGTTTCGACCTGCTTGTTGACGCTGTTCATGCAGCGCTCCTACTGCGCCTATCGGATTTGGGTCTTCGAGGATCTCAGTTCACGCGGAGACTCCGGATATGGTCGTGCCCAGTGAGTGATCGTCGTGACATTCGGGTCGTCGCTGCGGCTCACGAATTTTCCTCCCGTAGTCGGTGAAGCACCTTTCAACTCTACCATCACCGGAAAGACGGAGTTCTTGCCAGTCACTCTGAGCTTCGTCACCGCCAAGGGATGCGTAAGTGTTATTTTCTAAAGTGCGAAGGTCCAAAGCTAAGTTCGGTCGCTTGTCAGGACCTGATGTTGTTCAACCTCTTTGCCGCGCTGCAAGATGCGGGCATAATCAACCCGGTAGGGACAGGCTCCCGGGTGTTTGCATCGTAACTTGTCATCACGAATATGCGCATCTTGAATACACTCGCATACCTTCTTCGACTTTTGCGCGCGCGAAATTTCTCCTTCAACGTGCGAGCCGTGAGTAGAACACAGATACCTGTTGGAACTCTGAGTCGATCGTTTGTCAAGACCTACGATTCGAAGCCTCCCCTTAGTCGCTGCTCACGCCGTGTTCATACTTGGTATCTATGCTTAAAGATACTCACCAACGACGCTTGGAAGTACTGCGATAAAATGTTAGTCTCCCCTAGGCAGACGTTCCGAGGCGCTCTATGAGAGGGGGCAGGGACGAGCACCACTAAGATGTGGAAAGTTGGACACGTTTGACGAAAGAACCAAAAATTCCCGCTAGCCGATTTGAACGACTGACCTCGTCATTAACTAACATCACGATCATGCGATATTACTAGTGACGCGCTCTACCAACTGAGCTAAGAGGGACTTGTTGGTTAATAAATAGCGTTGTACATAACTTGAGAGTACGCAAGAATGATGCCCTTAGCGCGAACCAGCCTAACTGCAGCAGACTCGTGGGTCTTGCGCTCACCCTGTTTCCTCCATGACTGCTTTGCGACACTTCTCTCTCGCATCGGGAACCTGAAATTTGATTGTATAAGTCACTGGTGAGAAAAAGACACTTTAGAAGACATAGTTCACCCCAAAGTACTGATGTATCTCCACCAGCCACCGAGGGCGCGCTCATATCCTCCATACCACCTCAGGATGAATTCATATCCTCCGGAACTCCTTGTGCAGCTAGCGCCAGTCATGTTTGTGGCTGGTCTGGATGCACAGACCCCACAGTCGTCGACGAACGCCCCTGCGACTCCCTCGACCCAACAACCACCCCGACCAGATGCTTTCCAGCTTCTCTCCATGAGGCTCAGAGATGCGCTTGTCTCTCAGCGGAAGGTCGCTATCTGGCAGCCGGAGAAGTCGAAGACGTTCCAGGTCGTTCTTGTGGACAAGGTGCGTCCACAAACTGTTGATTGAGGGCAGTATATGACAACGTCGTAGGACGTCCCGTTCCCGCCGCGCAAAATGCTCCGTCCAGACGACCCGCAATACAGCGCATCTCATTCCCCCCTCTCCCCTTTGACCCCAACATCTCCCCTATACCCGGACGGTGTCATCGCGCCTATATGGATTCGCAAACACACAACCCTTGTCCCTTCCGTGTTCGTGATGTTCACGCGCATATATGAATCACCCCCGCTTCAAGCAGGCCAAACAGAACGCGAGCGCGAGGTCGAAGAGAAGCGGCGAGACACTGAGCTATCAGCCGAAATTGCGCAACGGAAGAAGAGCACGAATGAGCGCGGGCTGAAGCTCACGGTCGTGCTGATGGCTAGTCGGAGAATGCTAGACGATCCTACTCTGGATGGGCGGCTCACGTACATACGGAGACAGAGTGGACTGGATCCCCGCGCAGCGCTCTTCGTGCTGAGTCCAGTTTCACCTACGGAGATCGGGGACTTCGTGCGCAGGTACGTCGTGGCTAATTGGTTTGCGAGCATCTTATGAAGTAGCAGCGAGCAGCTTGCAAGATGCGCTCTGGGAGCCCGCGTTGGAATACTACACCAATCACTCGAAACGCGTCCGACGGAAACGGAATCGCCATTCGCAGGCCACTTCGTACCAGCTGCCCCTTTCACCGATGGCCAGTGCAGGTATCGCGCGCCCGCTTCGTCCCGAAGGATGGACGGTTAGGTACGAGTATAAGATGGCGTGTTTTGCGGAGTTCCGGGGAGAGGACCAGGTTGCGCTCAAGTACGTCAAGCGCAGTCTCCAGCAGTGCCAGTCTCTGAACAGCCGGTATCTAGGCATTACCAGGATGCATATTCAACGCTTATCATCATGTTTGGCTCCACCGCAATTCTTCCACCTCGCACCAAGCGCTGGGCAGAGGCGAAGGTGCTCGCGGATTGCATCAACGTGAAGGTATGGCGCCGTGCCATCAGCATACACCTGTTTGAAGTTGACTGTCCATATTTCATTCCAGATCGTAAAGCTTTATTTGTACAACAACGAACATTCCCTCGCACTGTCGCACCAGAACAGCCACATGCGCAAGTTCGCCGATTTCTCGCGCGGGTGGGGCATCGGAGAGGAGACGTTCGAGTTCTGGAGCTGGCTTGCGCGACAGTATGGTGATAATCAGCATTCGTACGGGCAGTAGGCTAACGGCGCCCGCAGACACCGCGTGTTCGCAGAACTTCTTGAACAGGGCACGCGCTCCAGCCTCAAGATCCCGACTGCATATCCAACCCCGACGCTATCCGCCGCTGCCCTTGCAGTGCAGTCCCTCGAGGCGTCACAGATTGGCCTGGAGGCGATGCGCGTGCTCGGCCTGAACCCAAACCAGGCCCTGCAACATCCTGGGTTCTACTACTATATGGCTGCGCGGTGTACGGAGCGGAGGCGCGAGAGGTTCCTCGCAGTGCTCGAGACAGAGGTGATAGCAATGCCCCTTGGTGTGGTGTTGGCGTCCTGATGTGTCGTGCAGGTAGACGGCCAACAGACGAACTCCCCCGGTTTCGCGAACGAGAGGAAGGTAGACCATTTGGCCATTGTCTTGGAGGTGGGTATTCGTACAGGTTTGGACTAAGGTCCATGCTGATTGAAGATGTCTGTAGCTCTACACCCGCGCGTACGAGCTCTTCAAGAAGTGGAGCCCGCAAAACTCGCAGAACCCGGGACGCCTGACGCTGTGGATAGCATATCGTATTGCTCAGACGTACTATGATTCGGGAAAGTTCGACATGGCCGTCAGGTTCGTTGTATGTTCGCAGCTACGAGCGCCATGCTGATATGTCGGTCCTTTCATAGATTCTTCGAACGCATCGCGAAGACATATCGACGAGAGAGCTGGGAGTCATTGTTGCACCCGTTATTGTCCCAATGGTATGCGTGCGCTCAGCAACTGGGTGACATGGAGCTGAGCGTGAAGCTGCTCATCGAGATGCTCGCTTACGGTGCGCCCGAACTTTATCGCTGGGAATACAAGTACTGATTAAGTGTGTGTGAAGGTGCAACCGCCTCAGCAGACGATCCAGATGTATTGCAGGATGATCTTCTTGCCGTACTACAGGTAAGCAGAGCATGTGTATCTGGTTGGCTGCTGTGTCTTATGAAGAACAGAGTACGGTGCCCTCCGTCACTGAAGAACCTCTTGTAGTCGATCTCTCAGAGTCAAAGTCCATTCGTAAGTCTTCGTTACTGTGCTAGTTCCTGAAGCTCATCGCGGCTCGTGCAGTGGACGCATCAGTGGTCTTCTGGGACCACGAGATTGATGTCGGCGAGCAGGCTCGGTTCCAAATACTCCTCTCCTCCCAACCCAACGTATCCCTATCGTCTATACCGTTCACGCAGCTCGCTATCCACTTCAGCACCCAAGCACCTCCGCTAATCATCAAGCATCATCAGCCCGATCCCGACGTCGATGTGCCTACCGTACAACGGTTTGACTTGGGCGCGGTCGTCGTTGCTCCCGCGCCTGCAGAACCCGCCGAGATCGAGGCTGAGTTGCAATGGGGAGCAGGGTCGACGATCGTGTTTACAGGAAGCGTTTCGTCGGCTCTGCCCATGCACATTTCGGTACGTTCCTCCTGCAGGAGTGCATACGACGCCGCTGACATTCATCACCAGGTCTCCAAACTAGTTTTCACCATCAAGGTGAACTCTTGGTGGATTGAGGTACCTATCGTCCCTGAGACCACGCGGCTTGAGAATGCGCTGGTAGCTCCGCGCTGGCTGTGCTCGGTCGACCCACCTCGCTTTATCCCCATACGCCGTGAGGATCACTCCTCAGTACGGGTCCGTCATCGTCCCCACCAGGTGGAGGTCGCAATCTCGCACGAAGGGCCCGCGTACATCGGTGAAGAGTTCCCGATTGAGATCAACATCACCAACCAAGACGACCGGGAACTGGAGGTCGTCCTCGACGTGCTCCTTCAGCCCACGGAGATCGACGAAGCAGGTGGGCGCCCCTCCTTCATTCTCACTCTCGCTCATCAATTCTAACCTCGTGCGCAATGCAGTCAATCATGTCGCAATGGACGACCAGCGGTCGACAAGTCTGCTCAAGGCCGTCGCGTGCGGCGTGCTCGCGCCAGGGGTGAGCGTGCTCAAGAAGCTCTACCTGGCAAACACTGGCGCCCCAGGGGAGCGCGTCATCGACATCTCAGTGCAGTCGCACTCGACCGCGCAGCCGCCTACGTCGCCTGTCTCTCCTACTACTCCTGCGAGTGCGACAGCTCCGTCACTGGTTGATCGGAGCGAGACGCTACGCACGCTGGCTGTTCCGACGGTGCTGCCTATCGAGGTCGAGCATGCGGTGACGTACAGGCGGCCGACGAAGCCTCAGCCTGGCCTTGCGGACTTGATGACCTTCGAAGGTAGCCAGAAGGACGAAGCAGCGGCAGTGGAGGCGGTGGTCACCAGTATCGTATCAGTCGTGGCGACGTCCGGCCTCGTCGTTGAGAACGTGGTTTTACATCGAAAGGTGTGTGTTTATTTGCATACGAATCTGAATAACGCTCAATGTCGTCGCAGAATACCGAGGTTGCCGAGGTGATGGACTGCTCCGTAGACCAAGACGACTTCAGTGGCGGTGAGTACATCCGGCAGCGTACTCTGACTCGATGCTCATGAGACACAGAGTGGCTGGCTGGAGATGAGTTCGGTGACAAGTGTCGCATCAGCGTCATTCCTAATGCGGAGCACCCGGATGCATCGATCCCTGGACCTGGCGAGTACGAGGTCACCTGGAGAAGGTACGTCGTCTTTCATTCTTCATGCTAGCGTATACTTATCACTTGCATTCAGGCTCCTCCGCGACGGCAGCCATGGCTCGCTCTCGACCACACGTTTCCCGCTCCCTCAGCTCCTCCCACCCTCGGATGGCCTCATCGCGCTCCTCGATGCGCCCACGACGGCGCGGCTGCACGTCCCAATATCACTCCGACTGACTGTCCGGAACCGCCATCCGACGCGCACCGCCACGCCGACGGTTCAAATCGAGCCGGATACTATGGATGCGTTTGTCATTGCGGGGCTTCGCCACGGCCGCATGCCTGTGCTTTTGCCTGGGCAAGAGGACGCGCTCACATGGAACCTCATTCCTGTCCAGTGCGGCCTGGTTCGCGTGCCTCGCGTCAAGGTCCTTGATCGGCGGAGCGCGGTGCAGCTGGCAGGGGCGTCGGCCGGCGGTGGAGCGACGGAGAGTGAACAAGCGGAGGGCGACGATGTTGAGGTCGTAGACGTGCGATGGGATGGACGGCCGCAGCGGGTGTTGGACGAGGAGGGGGCGGAGGTGCAGATAGTGAAGGGGCACGATGCGTACGTGTTGGTCGTGCCATAACATCTTCATCCTTGTCCCGGTGTTTTTGGTATGTCTTCCTCAGCTACTCATATATTCTTGTACTGAAGTTCTCTAGTCG